GAGTCAAGTCAACTCTCCAAACGTGTAGTAGCCAGCCACCCTGACACGTGACCCCACACATTCCCTCTACTAAAAAAAGTCAACTCTCCCAAATCAAAAAATCAAACCTCACAATTCTCTCTCTCTCAGGACACGCACACACACAAACTCATCTCCATCCACACACCATGCCCGCCGGCAGCCCCCTCACCCTCCTCTCGTGCCTCCTCCTCCTCTCCGCCGCCGCCTCCGCCGCCACCCCCGACACTTTCCACATCCTCCGCGCCCCGTCCATCTCTCTCCCCAACTGCCCGAGCTCCTGCGGCAACCTCACCGTCCCCTACCCCTTCGGAATCGGCGACAGCTCCGGCACCGCCTCCGCCTGCTCCGCCGGCCCCTGGTTCACCCTCAACTGCACCTCCGCGGCCTCCCCCTCCGAACCCCCCCGCGCCTTCATCGGCACCGTCCGTATCCTCGAGATCTCCGACTCCCGCATGCGCGTCTCCAACGTTGTCGCCCGCCGCTGCTTCGACTCTTCCGGCGCCGTCGTCCGCGCCAACCACGCCACCTCCGACATCTCCTCCACCCCCTTCACCTACTCCGACCTCAACCAGTTCACCCTCGTCGGCTGCGATGACCTCGCCCTCATCACCACCGTCGGCAGCAACGCCACCCTCGGCTTCACCAGCGGCTGCGTTTCCCTATGCTCCCGAGCCGATGACGTCACCGGCGCCGGCGGATGCTCGGGAATCGGCTGCTGCCAGACGTCACTCCCCCGTGGCATCAAATTCTATCTAACCGACCTCACTAGCCTCCGAAACCACACGCAGGTCGCGTCTTTCGACCCGTGCAGCTACGCCTTCCTCGGGGAGAAGGAGCGATTCGTTTTCCGCGGGGCGGATGATTTATCCGACCCAAATTTCATGGATCGGGTCTTGGATACGGTTCCAATCGTGCTCGATTGGGCGTTGGGGAACTCGAGCTGTGCGGAGGCTCGAAGGTCGGCCGATTACGCGTGTCGGGCCAATAGTTATTGCGTGGATTCGGATAGTGGGT